CTCATTCCATATTTCTACCGTCATTCAGCTGCGGAACTATACCAGTCATTATCCAATTACCAGACTGCAGTTCACTTCCACTCAACAGAACGGGGAAACTGTCCACAGTATATTGATGTTGTCCCTGAAGCTCTCACTGCTCTTTCACAGTCAGACAAATGAGCCCAAAATACAGAGCAGGACCAGGGAACATGAATCTACTGCAGCAATAAACACACACACAAATACACAGCCTCACAGCTTGCCCAAAACAATCGTCTGGGTGCCTTTTAATCAGTGAAGCACTGTGGGCCGAGCGCCATGAAAAGAACACAACTTCCATAACAAGCAAGAGGGGAAGGCTCAAACGATCCACTATGCACACATTTATTTTCCGTTCATAAACACAAGTAATGGCTGTGTACTTGAACTCTGACTATAGAGCCAGCTGCAGAATAAATATTCTGATATTTTACAAAAGGTAGAGATGCGACAAAGAGGCATACATACTTACAAAGAGTATTAAGATAAAAAATAAAGTACAGTGGTAATATTTCCATCAAGCTGAATTATTTTCTGCTATGTTACCTTTTACTTTGACTTGCACAGCCAGAGGCAGAAATATCCATTAAAAGCCTGGCAAAAAAATGCCTATGAACAAAGACTACATGTATGAATCTACAGTTGTAGGAATCCTACAGGCCTTAAAAAGTACAGAAACACAAGAACTACATGTTTGCAAATGAATGCATCACTGTGTGAAATAGTACCTGATGAACACTAAAATAGATTTAAGACACAAAAGAGCACACAATACTAAATAATAACTAATGATGATTACAACCTGAAATATTAAGCCTTTATATGGTTATATTTATGCAGTGTTACAGATATTTTTAGGATTGACGAAATCAGTGGGAACATTACCCAAGCTTTGTGTAACACAAGAACATATTGTGTGGCATGCCATTTTCTTTGGATTTGAAGTACCTCAATAACAGGGAGTCAGGACAAAAAAAGAGTTTCAGGTTGCTGGCAGGCCTTAAGAAGTTCTCAAAATAACTTTGTCATGGAATCGTTATTTCCATATTGGACAAACTTCAAAAATAAGCCAACCAAAGCATTCAGTGGATTTTTTTTCCGTGTGCAGCTGCAGATAACCAAGAGTTGAAAAAGTCTATTCAGAGAAACTAGATAATACACAATAGGACCTGCATGAGATCTGCACACATTGTTCCTACAAAACCAGAGAAAGTCAGAGCAGAGAATAAACCGCTGCACACTCTGAGACATATCAAACACACACATGCAAACACACGCATAAAGAAACTATTCACATCCGGCCTCTGCAGTTCTCAGTTATGTAACACTGAGTGACACATTCCAAGATCTGAGCAGCTGAACTCTAAGAACAGACTCGTCTGCAGACACCCTGCATCAGTAGTGGTCTTAAAATGTGAGCACAGGTCTCTTCACACACTGACTGGTGACGCAGACAGATCTAACATCAGCCTCGTTGCAAACAATATGAAGTAAAAACAAAACAAAAAGAATACTGTTGATCTCACAGAATGGAGCTACTTCATGTCAATCAACATGAAAATTAGAGAATTTGCTACACAGAATTTTTTGACAATTGCAACAACACCAGCAGTTTCAAAACTTGAGCTGTATGAACCGATTCTATTATTTTACCATGCAATTGTTTAATGGTTCAATTATTCCAAATTATAGTCCAGAAATGAAACGAGGATAAATATTAAGTCATAGTATTACTACAGTGGAATTGAACAGAACTTAAACTTTATTTTGATTATCAATAAACAGTAAAGTTTGTGCTTTTGTTTAAAAAAGGGTATGCCAAAAATAAATAAAAAATAACTGTGGCATTGCATGAAAAGACAAAAACAGCAAAACTTCACCTTTAAGAAGATGACATCAGACAGTGTTCAGTGTCAAAGATTGGACGATGATATAGCTTCAGTATCGAGGACCACAAGTCACTGTCTGGACTCAGGAATTTACTTTGGCTAGACTGACCTTTAAGATTTAGTGACTGAGGAACCAAGAGGAATCCAAGAACCACGTCTGTGTAATGCTTAAGAGGTGCATTCTGGTCGGATAACTGCAGTTTTGCTGACACATCCTTGTTTGTTATAGATTCAAATTCCACAGTGAATGTGAGCAAATATTTATTATTGTGAGTTTGGGATCTTGTCTGTATTTGTACTCCATCTTAACCAATTTTTTTGGGAGATAGTCAATAAAATCTGCAAAAAATTACTTGACTTCTTATAATTCAATCTTCCTGTTTGAACGTCATTCTTAGCATGTTTTTAACTGGTTCAACTCGTATTTGTGTGACAGAAAATGTTTTGTATCGATAGAAGACTGCACCTCCAAACAATACTATAAGGTCTCCAGTGGGGTACCACAAGGATCAATTTTAGGACCATTACTTTTTAATTTGTACATTTTACCCCTGGGTGGTGTCATCAGGAGGCACAGAATCTCTTTCCACAGCTATGCTGATGACACTCAGCTTTATGTAGCCGTGTCTCCTGATGACACCAGACAAATTGACTCACTTTTTAATTGTATTTTAGATATAAAAGCCTGGATGTCACAGAATTTTTTGTAGCTCAACCAGGACATAACAGAGGTTTTAATCATCGGTTCAAAGGCTCAGAGAGAGAAACTGGCCCCCAAATTACAAAAAATAGGACTCAACCCAAGTCAAGAAGCACGGAATCTTGAGGTGATCTTTGACTCAGATTTTAATTTTAAGGCCCACGTGAAGGGTGTCACAAAAACAGCGTTTTACCACCTGAAAAACATTGCCAAAGTGAGGCCATTTCTCTCTCTTAGCCAAACAGAGAGACTAATGCACGCTTTTATCACTAGCAGGCTGGACTATTGTAACGGTCTCCTTTCTGGTCTTCCTAAAAACACAACCAATCGGCTACAGTTTTAAAATATTCTTCTCCTATGTATTAATTTTAATAACTTATTGCTTTTATGTGTCGTATTTTATTTTTTACATACATACATATTTTTTAATTCTTATTGGTGTGCATTAGTATCTCAATGATTTTATCAATGATTTTATAAACTACTTTTTCGTCAATAACTTTTCTGCACTCTTGTAAAGCACTGCTTTGAACTGCAATTTAATTTGTCTGAAAGGTGATATATAAATAAAGTTTGATTGATTGATTGATTGATTGATTGATTGATTAGCATAAAACTGCACCCACTGCCAAAACTAATATTACTATAAATTTTACTTCTATAAAATTATTATACATTTATTACTATAGATTTTCCGATAACAGCTCTGCACATCTTCTGGTTAATTATACTTCAGAAGTAAAGAGGGCGCCAAAATGTTGACACAAAAAAACATAATAAATTCTGGAGGCCTTGATGTAAGCAGAAAAACAAGAGCTTACATAACAGAGGATGACCATGTTTTTAAGTCTCCTGCTCTGTCCTCTCCACCTGAGACTATCTATCATGTGTTTCTCACAGCACAGTTTGGATCACCTCTTATGTTAACCTTTATTTGCACCTGCATTGATTTATTTTTGTTTCTGATGTCATGTAAGAAAGAAAGCCTCACAGACATAAACAACCGCTGCTCACCACAATAAAGCAAGGCCAATATAGTAGAAATCAAAGGATGACAAAGTGTTTGTAAAAACACCACTAGCCTATGCACAAAATGCATCAGACATTACTACTGATCAATGCAGCCCGAAAAAATGTGCATTTTTACTGTTTTTACCAGGTAAGAATATATTTCCCCAATTAATTTCTAAGTAACACACCTTACAGGTTGACACTGCAGACATGACACCACCTTATTATTGCTTTTTAAGCAATATCTGCATCCCCACCATAAAGTAGCCTATGTTATGCACCTGAGGACAACAATCATAGAGCAAACAGAACTTATCAGGAAGTACTGCCGATCTGCCTTCAAAATAAAAGCCTGGGTGGGTGCACAACAACTAACGCTTTCAATAGTACATGTCAAGAGTATAACAACAAAGAATTTAGGTCAAATCTGTAGCTTTACAAAAGGAAACCAGATAAGTTTACTCTAAATATTTAGGGTATGCAAAGACGTTGGCTTACATTGATATTCTCTCTTTAATAACTTAATCTTCATTGTCTGCCCATTTGTTTTTACTTTACATTTGTAGTATATAGTCATGTGATTGATGTTTGGTTTTTTTAAATGTCTTGTAAATCTTCCAATCAACTTCACATTTAAACAGTTACAAGGTCAATATAATAGACTATAACAGCATTGGTTGCCTAATAAATTCTAAATTAATGATTGATTGACTGTTGCATCTCTTTTTTAAAAGTGCTAGTTAACAAGTATTATCTTAGCTAATTATTGAGTAATTGTGTGAGTCTTGAATAATTAACCTAGGCTAAATTGTTCTGAAATGTAAAATGTGGTTTGAGCAGGCTTTTGTTTTGAAAGTCCCAGCAGGAAGCCATACATCCCTTCTCTGTCCATCGTGACACTGGATGTGTACCGCTGTTGTTATAAGCAATATCAGATCAATATGGTGAAAACATAAGGGTGCAGGCCGCTGGTGTGACAGCAATAAGCCAGTCCTGTTTATCATTTAAAATTCATACATTTTGTTTAAACGTGTGTTTTGTTTTTTTAAGGCAATTTCAAGCATATAACGTTTCACGACGAAACACGGTGTCATACTCTTCTTCAATGCCTTTGTGTCAATGCGATAAAATAAAATAAAACACAAATACCTACTAAAACAGCTAGCACCACCTTCCCATACAACACCGTTATCGACAATACTAGTCCGTATTTAGAAGACAAAGCAATTAGGAGCGGAAAGCCCGTCACGTCTTCACCGCTATGACCGACCGAGGCATCATTTTTCAGCCTCCGACGCTTTTCTTCTTATTCCTCTGCGTCTTCTCATCCATCACCGAACAAATAACCTGAATATAAATGGAAAATGGAACCCGCTCACCTTGCCGCAGCTGGTCGACAGCGGGTCTATCCTCGATATAAAGCATGTGTAGCAATAGAGAACCGTGCTGTTGTGATGGTAGTCCTCGACGTATGGGGAGATTGTTCCTCTACACAGACTGCAGGCAGGCGCGCGGTGCATCGCCTGATGGGCTGGGCTGTAGCGGCACGTCAGTCTGAGGTCACAGCTTGGTCCCAGACCAGACCGGATTATCTAACCTTGGGTGGGACGGCTGGTTCGCATTAGGCCTGTTACCTCTGCCAGGGATACAGTGTATTTCTATTAACTACGCTAAAGCATAAACCTAGTTAGGCTAAATGTTAGGCCATATTTAGAGAAGCCTAGCGTATAGGCCTAGTAGTCCTATAGCCTATTATAAAAGACAAAAGTGCTTTACTTTATAAAAAAAAATGACAACATGAGGATGATACATTTTTTGGCATATAGGCTACATCCATAATGTAACATCATTACAGATGAGTGACTTATTAAAGGACAAACCTGGAACACAACTAATTTGTTGCCTACTTCCTCAAGGATGCATTGCATCATACAATCAGTCCCTTCATATCCACATGGTTTTAAATTAGTGCGTTTTTGAATCAATTTCTATCCTTAGGGTTGAGTCATGGATAGATAGATAGATAATACTTTATTGTCATACGTAGTCACTGAATCATTTGATTAACATGAAAAATGTGTGAACAGGCATTTGTAGGCTATATGCCATAGCTTTGGCAGTGATCAGTTGTCAACTATATGTTGAACATAGCCTATGTGATTTTGGTCCCACATAGAGAGGGCTCTCCACTTCCATTATCATAACACCAAATAAAGAAATATATGGAGAAGGTGACTTCCTTCCTGTTAAAAACAACTTTCTTTCATTAAGTATAGCATAAATTGACAAGACCAAATGCCAACTGTCTTTGTGCTTAAATGATCAAATTTAAGCTTTGAATGATACGTTTTCTGTCCCTTAAATGCTTTTATGATCATGCTGTACAAAAGTTCTAGAAGTGATGTCAGAATCAAGAAAAAATATCAACTTTAGAAAAAAGGTAAAAATGTGTATAAAGAGAGCAACTCATGTTACCTATGCTCTTAAAGCAGACTGTATTGGCCATATTACCAAATCGTTAGATTATTTTCAATCAGCTGTCCTCAGAACACAATTTTGTACGAAGCAGAATCCTGGGTTTAATAATCTGACTGTCCGTAATGTTTCATTTATCTTTTTATCTATTTTTTTTGGTCATTTATCTCCCTTAGCCCTACAGTCCCCCACATTCTCTCAGTCATGCTTGTACTGCAGTCAGCAATTTAAGAGCACACATTCTCTTTTTCTAAAGCCTTCACGTTCACGTCCACAGTATAACAGATTATTATAGATAATTGAGCACTAGTTGTTATGAGACATAAAAAAGTTATTTTAGATAGGGTTTGTTTTAGATTTATAGATAGGTTCACAGGGCATTTATGTTATTGGATAGATGCATACTAGTTGCATACTAAAGCCTATGCATGATATTCTCATGATATTTGGTACAAACTAACTATAACAACTATTTTTCTATTGAAATATGTGCTTCATTGTTGTAAATGTCTGTATACAAAACTGGATGAGACAATAATTTATAGTCCCAACACGCTTGTACAAATGTAAGAATCTAATGCCCAATAATTCTGTTTGCATCAGATACCATTGAGTTTAACATAATGCTAAAATCTGAGATCCACATACTTTTTTCTCTGAATGAATGAAAATTGAAATGTTTTGCTTCAACTGAAAGATTCAATTAAGCATCTGAAGCTGCATGTAGCTTTGCAGTTTTTCAGGGGACACAAGAGAGAGATGATCAGTGGCGGTTCTAGACCACTTTTACTGAGGGGGACAAACTTGGGCCTGTTGTTTTGTCAGAAGGGAACATTAAACCAAGGTGAAAAATGGACAATTAGCAAGATAATTGCTTTAATATATATATATATATATATATGAGTCAAATACTGTGTATGTGTTATTAGGGGGGCTCTTCCTTTTGGAGGGGTGGCCCCAGGGAGGACCAAGCTCAGTTTTACTGGGGCACTGGCCTCTGTTGGCCCCTTCCTAGAACCGCCCATGGAGCTAATTACTTGATCTGATTTCATTGCTGTGCATTGGGACACTAAAGTAGACAGATTGAGAAATTTACTTTTTTACAACAGTTTCTAATTAATCAAGTTACAGTGAAAAATGTGTTTGATCAGGTATGAAAGAGTAGGATTCAGACCTTAGTAATCCCTTTCCCTTATACTGAAACTGAGCTCCATCTGCTGTTTGAATAAAGTAACTGCATTTAAAAAGGGCCTTAGACAACATTGAACTTTTTTCCCCCAATGAATAACTTCCTGTAGATGTTTGATGTTACTATTTGTAAAGCATGCTTAATGCACAGTAGACTACACATTTATATGCTTTCCGTTTGTTGAATAAAAAATGTTCTCTTTTAATTAAAAGCCAGGGTCCATATTCCAGATAATAACTCAGTCAGCCTGCTTTGACACATCTGATAATACTTATCATTTTAAAGCAAGTTTCAAAGTTTTTGGGACTATTATTATTAAACCTTGAGGGAACAAAGCATGTCCTATTTTTCCAGACCCCTACCCTTTAAATCAAGCTAAGATCTCTTAAGTAACTGCAGGGAAGAAACCATAGAGATTTAATTGAACTTATAAAAGTTAGTTACTTATTGGGCTCTTGTGGGCTCACCTTACATGCAAGATGGAAGTCCAAAAGTCATCAACAAAAATTAATACATCTCGTTAAAAAAAATATATATATATATATCAAATGTTCAATGCTGTATGCCTCCAGAAAAGCTTCAAGAACTCTTGGAAGTGTCTAAAAATCTCTGAAAATGACCCAAATATCATAGATCAAACACCATTCACATAGTTAATCCCATTATTTTGGGTTTTGATAATGTAAACTGAATTACATGTATCAATGTGGCTCTAAACTGAATAACCATTGTGTGAACACTTCAGTTGCAATCATTACTCACACCTGTTTCCAATCAGCCTTCTAAGAGGAGAGTGCTATGATTGGCTTCCATAACAAGTTAAATTAATTGCACTGCAGACTGTGTCTCACTGTGGCACTGTTGAAGGAGGACTTATAAGTGGAAGTGTTGGGACAGCTGTTGTCAGATAGAGGAATTTTTTTTTTGGTTTTGATCTTATCTCTGGCTGAAACCATGGGACTCATTCCATGGTAACTTTAAGCTCTTTGTGCTGAACATTTCATATTTGCAAATGAATTGCAGATTGTTATGTCAACTCATTGTATTCTTTCTAGTGTGGTGCTGCTTTCGCTTCTACTCATTGGGCAGCTTCAAGCAAGCATTCCGGGTAAGACCGAAGGTTGCCCCATGCACACACAAATAAGTTTAAAATAAAAGTATTATGAAATGAATGCATGTGACTTTAGAACACCACTGCTTGAGATTAGTAATTTAACATGTTATGGTACAGGAATTTGTATTTATTCTTAAGTATAGATGAATGACTTTAGAATTTTGTTTTGTGATTTATTTAGCTTCTTCTGATAGTGGATTTGAGCAGTCCCCGGTTCCTATCTGGCAGCTCAAGCCTCAGGGTTCCCAGGTTCTGACCTGGCTGCCCAAGTCTCAGCAGCCCCAGGTTCCCAGCGGGCAGCCCCAGGGTCCCAGCGGGCAGCCCCAGGTTCCCAACGGGCAGCCCCAGGTTCCCAACTGGCAGCCCCAGGTTCCCAGCGGGCAGCCCCAGGTTCCCAGCGGGCAGCCCCAGGGTCCCAGCGGGCATCCCCAGGTTCCCAGCGGGCAGCCCCAGGTTCCCAACGGGCAGCCCCAGGTTCCCAACGGGCAGCCCCAGGTTCCCAACTGGCAGCCCCAGGGTCCCAGCGGGCAGCCCCAGGTTCCAACCTGGCAGCCCCAGGGTCCCAGCGGGCAGCCCCAGGTTCCAACCTGGCAGCCCCAGGGTCCCAGCGGGCAGCCCCAGGGTCCCAGCGGGCAGCCCCAGGTTCCAACCTGGCAGCCCCAGGGTCCCAGCGGGCAGCCCCAGGTTCCAACCTGGCAGCCCACGCCTGAGCTGCCCCAGGTTCCCGGCTACCAGCCCAAGCCCCAGCCCCAGCAGCCTGTCAACCAGCCCCAGCAGCCGGTCTACAAGCCCCAGCCTCAGCCCCAGCCCCAGCAGCCGGTCTACAAGCCCCAGCCTCAGCCCCAGCCCCAGCAGCCGGTCTACAAGCCCCAGCCCCAGCCCCAGCCCCAGCAGCCGGTCTACAAGCCCCAGCCCCAGCCCCAGCCCAGCAGCCGGTCTACAAGCCCCAGCCCCAGCCCCAGCAGCCGGTCTACAAGCCCCAGCCCCAGCCCCAGCAGCCGGTCTACAAGCCCCAGCCCCAGCAGCAGCAGCCGGCCTACAAGCCCCAGCCCCAGCAGCAGCAGGTCTACAAGCCCCAGCCCCAGCAGCAGCAGCAGCCGGTCTACAAGCCCCAGCCCCAGCAGCAGCAGCCGGTCTACAAGCCCCAGCCCCAGCAGCAGCAGCAGGTCTACAAGCCCCAGCCCCAGCAGCAGCAGCCGGTCTACAAGCCCCAGCCCCAGCCCCAGCCCCAGCAGCCGGTCTACAAGCCCCAGCCCCAGCCCCAGCAGCCGGTCTACAAGCCCCAGCCCCAGCCCCAGCCCCAGCAGCTGGTCTACAAGCCCCAGCCCCAGCCCCAGCAGCCGGTCTACAAGCCCCAGCCCCAGCCCCAGCAGCCGGTCTACAAGCCCCAGCCCCAGCCCCAGCAGCCGGTCTACAAGCCCCAGCCCCAGCCCCAGCCCCAGCAGCCGGTCTACAAGCCCCAGTCCCAGCGGCCGGTCTACAAGCCCCAGTCCCAGCAGCCGGTCTACAAGCCCCAGCCCCAGCCCCAGCCCCAGCCCCAGCGGCCGGTCTACAAGCCCCAGTCCCAGCAGCCGGTCTACAAGCCCCAGTCCCAGCGGCCGGTCTACAAGCCCCAGTCCCAGCAGCCGGTCTACAAGCCCCAGCCCCAGCCCCAGCAGCCGGTCTACAAGCCCCAGTCCCAGCAGCCGGTCTACAAGCCCCAGCCCCAGCAGCCTTTCTACAAGCCCCAGTCCCAGCAGCTGGTCTACAGGCCCCAGTCCCAGTCCCAGTCCCAGCAGCCGGTCTACAGGCCCCAGTCCCAGTCCCAGTCCCAGCAGCCGGTCTACAGGCCCAGGCCTCAGCCCCACAGGCCCCAGCAGCCGGTCTACAGGCCCCAGCAGCCGGTCTACAGGCCCAGGCCTCAGCCCCACAGGCCCCAGCAGCCGGTCTACAGGCCCCAGCAGCCGGTCTACAGGCCCAAGCCATCTGGTGGGGTTGGCATATAACTGCAACTTGCATCTAACTATGGAAGCAAACTGCAACCTGGCTACAACCCTTGTTAAAGCGGAAGGTACAGACTGGGGGTTTACTTTGAAATCTTTCCTGCTAATGGAAGGGTTAACCTTTTTGCATACCTAACGAATCTATCTTTGGTTTCAGGTGTTTCATCTGATGCGCCTTTTTGATTTATTGTTTGTGCCTGGACATGGTAAATAAAACGTTATATTACATTGGTGTGTAAATCTTTATTTAATATTGAAGTGTTATTTCTACCAACATTTAAGAATGTGGGAGTTTCATTCTGTGATTTGCATGGTCAACTCAGACATAGACATGTACACCTTGGTTAGGTTTCTAAATTCATATACTTTAAATCCCCAAGGGGAACTTCAAGTCTACACTAAGACACTCAAACGTGTGAATGTGGCTTAGCCAAACAAATTTTCATCCTTTGCTCTGTACAAGGACTTGAACTGGCGATTGGTAATGTCTCGGCAGACTGAGCTACTGCTGCCCACCAGCAACACATGTTTCCCTAGTGATAATTAAACTTGTTGTATGCTATAAACCAATGAGATTTATTTTCATAACACATGAGTGACTAGTCAGATAGTGTTGCACGTATGACTTGCCTTATTATACTCTCCAAGAAACATTTCTGGTAAAACTCAAATGTCTCTGCACCCCAAATGACCTGCAAAAAGCAAGAGACCTGAGTGACTTAAACCTGAGGTTTGAACAAAGACTTCTCTGCTGAATGTGATGTTTCTGATTATCTGATGCTAGGTTGGTGATAGCCCCCCACTCTCCAAATTCTGTACAATGGGGCACAGAGCCACATTTTTCCTCAGTGAAGAGGTGTGAACATCAACTTAGACCGACGCTTCCAAAAATCCCCACACTAGAAAAAATGTGTAATAACACTAGTTCCCAAGGTAAATGACTTCTGGCCTGTGGCTCTGAGATCCACTGTTGAATTGTTGAGGATGATGAAGGAGGTAGTGTTTTTTTTCAAGATCTTCCAATGCTATCAATACCATCACTCATTTGGTTAGTAAACATGTGGATGATTCAAGGTTGTCTTATTCCTGTGAGAGGGCAATTTGTTTTGCAGTCAACAGTAAAATACATCCAGCCAGCAATCAGCATACAACAAAAGGACACTAAGTAAAGTCCAATGGAAAAATAAATACAATGAATTAAAAACATGAAAACAAAAGCAACACAATTGGTATTTAAAAAAGATGATGGCAGCAGGTACAAATTAGTTCCCGGCAAGTCAGGGTCAACGGCACCCTCTCAGAATCCAGAACAATCAGCACCGGTGCACAGCAAGGCTGTGTCAGCTCCTCTTCACATTGTACACAAATGACTGTACAAGAACTCATCCATGGAACTTTATTAAGTTTTCAGATGAGATGGCCATCGTCAGTCTGCTGCACAGTGATGGCAACCCACTAGACTACTCCTCTGAAATGGAGAGGTTTGTGCAGTGGTGTGACAATTATCTTATGCTAAAGTTGGGGACGGCTAAGGAAATGGTGTTTCACCCAAAGACAGTGTGATCACACCGTAGGCCTGTGGTCATTAAAAATGCACATATCACATACTGTAGGTTGAATCATACAGGTATTTGGGGGTCCACATCGGCATCACTCTCAGTTGGAAAGGTACAAGTTGGAACTCTCTGCTTCAAACTCCATCAGCGCATGTATTCTATGTGTAGCATTAGGGTCTATGGAGTGGAGCAGAAGATCATGTAACTGTTTTTTTAGGCCATGTTGGAAAGTATCGTAAGGTACAGCATCACAGTCTGGTGAAGTAATTGACAGTGCAGCAGATGTCTTTGATTGCCCGTTTGGTGAAGACAGACTGTGGGTTAATAACTATCCATCCTTCCAGATGAGCAGTCTGTTAACAGACAGGCACATACAATTGTCAGACCCAGCTCACATTCAACATCAGGAGTTCCAGCATTTTACCTTCCAGCAGGGGATTCAGAGACCCCAAACTGCCAAAATAACTCTATTATGCTGATGTCAATTAAACCCCTCAATTACCACTAACATTATCCTTCATAGGAACAGTGCAATATGTTACAGAAAGACAGTGCAATATGTTTAAAGTAAGACAGTTCAAACTGTTTACAGTAAGAAAGTGTAACATGGGGAACCTGCTCAAAAATAGGCTTACCTGTTCAACATTAATAAAATACTCAGCTGTAAATACTGCCATAATGTCTGCATGTGTAAATATTGTGTGTGGACAAGCATATGAACTGAATTCAGTTTCTGTGAAATTGTTTATTTTTTCCCTTGTCTGATGCAGACTGCCCGCAGTTGCTGATTTTATAATTTATGTGGAATTGTTCTATATTCTGTATTACCTGTAGATTGCAGCCAGATGAAGTCCAAGGGACATATCCTCAAGGGGACAATAAAAGTACATTTTATCTTAACTAACATGCCTTAGTAAACAGTTGAGTGTTTGTGAGCTTGATCATTGAACTGACTGTCGTTTTTTCTATATATATATATAATAAACCCTGGACTACTGTATTTATTGGCACTTTGACTTTCTCAGTGCATTTCCTATGTCTCACTGGCTGTATTCTGATCTGTCATAGAGCTCTGCTCAGGTAAGCAAAGTGGGATGAGTCAAAAAATCTAATCAAAACTAATATTTTTCAAAACAGGCATTCTTTTATTTTGGATATGTTTGAATGTTGTGGTGAAATAGCTTTTATGTCCCCTGGATACCAATTAACCACAGTTCATTACTTTATCCATCCACTGATTTGGATCAACAAATATTCTCAAAGGTGGTAGCATTAAGGATTTTTTAACATCTGGATTCAAACATCAAACAATGCTTGGTAGAAACATTTATCGTATGTACATGTATGGTCCTTTCCAATCTGATTTGCTACAATGAAATGCAGACCATCCCATTAAAACAATCCAATTAATATGCCTTAATAGGAACAGGATGAAGGTTCACATTGAATTGTCTGCAACAAGAGTGTTTTATAGTACTAGCACTCTTATCATTTGTAACAGCTTCTATAGGTACGAAATGGAAACTGTTTGAAAAATGTCTAAAGACTGAAAACATATGTGGAAAAGAAGCACAGCACAACTTCAATGACAAACAGGAGTGTAGCAACATGAGGCAGATTGACTTGAAGGCCATACATGCTCCAGACTGATGCCAACCAAGCAGAGAAAAGTGGGATTGAAAGAAGTTTTGTTGCCATTAAAATTCATTAAGGCTTACCTTTAAAATCATACTGTGCAGAAACAGTTAAAATAACGCATGAAAATAAGTTTGCCCACTATCTTTGGCCTTATATAGGATTTCCATTTGGGAATAAAACTAGTGTGTCATAAAAAAATCATCAAAACAAATATCTTTTGTAACAGAATACAATATTTTTTCAATTAAAAGTAGGAAATTAAGGGAATGTTTTTTATTTTTATTTAACCAGGTAATTAACCCATTGAGATCAAGATCTCTATCAAAAGGGTGACCTGACCTGGCCAAGATGGCAGCAGCACAAGTCATATAATAATAAATATTACATGATTAAGAAACTCCTGACATTGTATTGTTGACACAAACTGTCACACTGAGGTAGTGAGGACATTAAAATAAGCCAAGATAGGGTTTCCTGCCACTAGAGGGAACCACTTGACAAAAAAGTAGTGGGACAGAGCAGCCAACAGTTTGATGTAGTGTTGTAAAAAATCAGACAAACATTTGATCTTGGATAGTTAGATAGAGGCATTTAATATTGCATTTGATCTAATCTCTGGCTGAAGCCATGGTACTCATTCTGCGGTATCTTTTCCTACAACTTACTTTACTAAAGATGTTTGTTCTTGTAAATGATTAAGTTTCTAGTGTTAACATTTATTTCTTTTTTCAGTGTGGTACTACTGTGGCTACTTATTGGACAACTTCAAGCTAACACTAAATGTCAAGCTAACACTAAATGTAAGACCAATTTAATTTTGTTTAAATAGAGTGACCTTGTGATGGTGAAATATAATTTGAATCAGAGGTTTTTCTAATATTGAAAAAACATCCATAGCAAATTATCTTGGAAATGAGTTAGGCAATTGGGATGCCATCAATGAGCCTCAAATTCCTGAGTACCATCCAAAACCACAGGCCCTGGTTCCTGGTTATTGGCCAAAAACCCAACCTCAACCCCAGCAGCCGCTCTACCAGCCCAAGCCTCAGCCCCGGCAGCCGGTCTACCAGCCCAAGCCTCAGCCCCAGCAGCCGGTCTACCAGCCCAAGCCTCAACCCCGGCAGCCGGTCTAACAGCCCAAGCCTCAGCCCCAGCAGCCGGTCTACCAGCCCAAGCCTCAACCCCGGCAAACGGTCTACCAGCCCAAGCCTCAGCCCCGGCAGCCGGTCTACCAGCCCAAGCCTCAGCCCCAGCAGCCGGTCTACCAGCCCAAGCCTCAACCCCGGCAGCCGGTCTAACAGCCCAAGCCTCAGCCCCAGCAGCCGGTCTACCAGCCCAAGCCTCAACCCCGGCAAACGGTCTACCAGCCCAAGCCTCAGCCCCGGCAGCCGGTCTACCAGCCCCAGCCTCAGCCCCAGCAACAGGTGCCCCTGCCCAAGCCTCTGCCTCAGCCCCAGCAGCCGGTCTACCAGCCCAGCAACACTACTGGCTCAGGTCTGAATACCCAGACTGAGGCTTCAACAGGGTATGTAAACTAAATGGCTTTATTATGTGGTGTGTCTCTGTGATGCTTGGTTTTAATGAAATTATGTCCCCTCACAGAATGATTGGGACCAGTGTCCAATATGGCAGCAAAGGGGGATTTGTCTACAACACTGGCGCATATGGTTTAACGGTAGGTGTTACAAGTAAACTGCCTAATCATTCCTCTGAATACTATAGGTTTATTCAACTATTTTCAATTGCTTTATCCAATTTCAGATTTTCCAACTGATGGGCCTTGTTAACTTAAAGCTTGTACTTTGACAATCTTTAAGAAATAAAATACTGCTTGTAATACCTTGGTGTGAAAATCACTTTTCTTTTACTTTGTCGGGGGGTTTTAAGATTAAGATTTTAATCTTTTGAATTTCCCGCAAGGGGAAATTCTGTTTTTACACTCTGTAGGTCATGCAACACACACATAGGCTGAAATATACACATGCACAAACAGGATCCTATGAACATGCACTAATGAAGAGATTTCAGGGTGACGCCCCTGGCAGGCACTCCTGAGCTGGTGGTGGGGAGGTGGTTAGGTGCCCTGCTCAAGAGCACTTTGGCAGTGCTCAGGAGGCAATCTGGCACCTCTCCAGCTACCAGACCAGAACTTCCATATTTGGTCTGCACCTGGACTTGAACTGGTGACCCTCCGGTTCCAAACCCAAGTCACTACAGACTGAGCTACTGCTGCACCAGTGGCTCAGTCTGTAGTGTCTGTGTTTTGAAAGCAAAATAAAAAATTCTGCTTATTGTAGTCCATTATTTAAATCTAAACTCTTTCTCAAGGCCATAGCAAAGATCTCTAAATGCTAGGCCCCTTACTGTATGCACCGAACTCCTTGATTAAACAGTTAGGCTATAGAAGCCTTTAGTTTCTGTGATTCTAATTGAGTGACAACTTGTGATTTCAGTAACATTTGGATAGAAAGGACAGAGGCCCTACAGCTTGATGACTTTTTTCACCTCCATATTTGTCTAAATTAAAGAGACAACTTTGGGGTTTGAACATCCCAGTTTTAGTTTCAATGCAAGTTAAACAGAACTTCCATCATTTAAAAGTCGCTGTTTAACCAATGCGTATGGATAAATGTATGAATGAGCAGGCTTATCCAAATCCCTATCTTCCCTGCAGTCCTTGAATGCAACATAAGAGCCGCCCCGCTCTACCGGATTTCAGCTTGTAGTAAGTCGCTCTTACCACTGACAGTCATCACTCAAACCGTCGGGACCACCTGGATTGTACACCTGTATCAAAACTGTACATTATTTTGAAACGTTTGTGATGAAGCGGATAGTAATGGACATTTCTAACTTGTCTCAATGACTGCAGAGCAACAGGCAACTTGGCTGCAAACTCGCTGACTGACTCATCGGCTTTGTAGGAACTGTTGCACAGAATCCCGTCGCGATGTCCCTGCTGTGTGTCAGAGGTAAGGTCTACATCCAGACCCGCAGGTTGTGCTTTTAAACAAAAGGAAACATGAGTTTAAATTAAATCGGGGAATTAAATGCACATCTTAATAAGCTGTTCTGCTTGACTTAAATCATTCACTGTAAAAAGATTTTTAAAAAAAAGCTGTCAAATTTTTAAGCTGTTTGAATAACTATTGAACAACTATTGAACTAACTAAAAAATATTAATTAGCCTATAACATTTGGTTGGCTATCACAAAGATAAAAAAAATTGCCAGACCTAAAGAAAAACTAAGTTATAATCATGTAGGCAACGCTTAATATCTTGGCCATCGTTTGCCTCATTCCACCACTAACATGAGTTGATAACGTGGATGTCGGGGAAGTTAAGTGGCGAAGATGTATTCAATGTACAAACTCAGGAGACAATTCCAATAGTTGCTTTTAAATGTCCACGGGATTAAAGCACATGTAGGCTGTTCCAGTGTCATTGTGCGTCACATCAAATAAAATAGTTCGTTGAAACTGTCTTAAATGACAAACATGCACATTTTGGAGATGCTGAAGGCTACAAAGGACAATTCAAAGACCTTAATCGATGTGTAATTGGTATTGCTTGAATGTATTTCTTAATCAAGTAGGCTATATAATTTATTTTATTGTATTCAATACATAATTTGCGGTTAGAGAATATCTTGTTTTGTTTATTTGCCCCTGGAATAGAAAATATCAATGAATATCTTTTTTAATCAATTTGAAATAGCTTGTGAGAGGTTTGGATTGTTGAGTGGAAGTGAGATGAAATTGAATGATATATTGCTTCCTCCTTCCATAAGTGCAATTCAGTAGCTGTTCAATAGTAGAGTGGACAGTAGTTGTAGGCCTACTGGGTTTAACTTAAATAATGGCAAACAAGTTGGGGCTGAAATTAACCATGTGCATTTAGAAAATGTAGTTTAGTTAATGAATAAAGGGATGAACCCTTACACTTACACCAGTTTATTCAGTAGTTTGGGTCCTCTCCAGATGACAAATTGACCTCCGTCATGCTGACTGATTATTTTATTATCAAACTTTTTTCAGCCACTGGGGGTTTGTGTCTCACGTTTTTTGACCAGTTTTCATCTTTGGTGTGAGTGCCACTGCAGCCTGAGGCTGGAAGGAGACCACATACAAACTCCATGTATTTAACAAACTTTTGTAAAAAAAAAAAGGGGTGAGCGAAGAGGTTGGGTGTTGGAGGGGTGCATTAAAGCCAGTGTAAAGTGGACTTAACCAAGCTGAATTTAAAATAAAACAATTATCTTGTTCAACTGGTTCAATCAAACCTTGATGTTTTTCATAGCAGTCTGTTCTTAAATCTTTCTACATTCTTTGAACTTTGACATATAGCAGCAAGTACAGTGATTATTTGGTGCAACACTGTATAAGGCCTGTTCGTAATGACCTAATGTTTTAGCTCTTTAAACCATTCATCTACAGGACTTGACACTTGGCAGATACGGTATCGCTGAAGGGCAATATTGAGTTTCACATTATTGAAAGGAACATTTCTCAAAATGTGCAAGCAACACTTCTGGGGCTTCAGCAACCAACTGCTCCAAGAAGACATGCATTGAAGCCTCATCCAGATTGCAGAAAACCGCCAAAAGTGCCTCTAAACAGCCACAATGTCGAACAACACTGCAAGTAGGCTATCAAGAGAAGAACTATGCCTAAATTGGTTGTGACAATTAGATATTAACAGCAGGAGTAGAAAATAAAAGCAGATTTGTATACAATTAAATAGCAGAGATTGATTTATGTTACAAGTGGTGTGAAGTTATGAAGTGATAAACAGTTCTAACAGGATCCAGGACAGAAAAAAACAAATTTAGTTTCTGAGATTAGTCCTAAAGTCTAGAATCTAAATGATGAAAAACTCAGTTCAGCCCTTTTTTGTACTCGATTGTTTTGCCTTATTTAAAATGTTGATAATATTATGTTCTCTGCATCTAGTTGTCAAATCAGGAACAACATGAGGCTGTAGCTCAGTTGGAAGAGTGGGCTGATTGTTAATTGTAGGTTTGGAGATCCGATACCTGGCTGTTTCTTCCACATGTTGAGCTGTGAGCAATCTCTGAACCCGCTCACTGTTTGTGTGGGTGAAGGAGATTTTTTTTCCAGTCACTTTCTCTGGCCCAAGGGTCATTCTTGACATCTTGAAGACACAAAGTCTGAAAGAACAGTCCCACTTTAACATAATTTTGAGACTGCATATCTTTATATCACTTCAGTATCGTGTCATTGTAATTCAGCGCAAACCCTGGCTAACTATGGCTTTACCTTTGCTCAAACTTGACTATGCAAATTGACACATGGTAAGTCATGAGAATGAAGAATTTATTATACCAGTATGCCATGACTGTTGAACCCTTTACCCTTGTTAATATCATGATTCATCATATTCCTTTTTATACCTATTAATATAGTCTGCCTTGTTTCGTGGTTTCTTTTGGCAAAGTTTATTTTGCCTTTATAGGTGGATAAAGATAAAAGAAGGGCAGTGTTGCTCAGAGAAACCAGGATAAGCATGTAACTGGAGGATTTAATCTTGTTTAGTAAATGTAAAGTCATGTGTACATTCAGCAGGTAAATATAATCAGATTCTAGCCCTACTCCTGCCCTTTTTCTGGAGAGTGGCTAACTGATATAACTAGTAGTGACAGAGCATTCTAGTTACTGAGTTTCTTTTGTATGTGTTTGGGTCCGAACCTACTAAGACAAACAGAGCAGAGCTTTTTCTACTTAATTTAACCAAGAGTTATAGTAAACTTTGTTGTAGTTTTATTTGAGGAATGAGGTGTTCTTTGTAATCATGGCAGCAATAGAAAAAAACCTTGTGAAATATTTGTTTTGTTAGGTTTACAGGCGTAAAAAACACTTGGTTAGTTTTGGGAAAAGATTATGGTTGAATTTATTGTTAGAAGTACAAACAAACAAATATTCCATAACTTAAAAAAGATTCTAATAAAGAAAGTCAATATTGAATTTTGGATTCACACCATTGGTGGACTCAACCCTAGTCTTGTTGAAAATCTGATATTTTGGACTTTTCTATGTCAAGTCAGGTGAGAACATATACTCTTTCACTGTTTTTGTCCTACCAATCTGCCTCATGTAAAGCGTGATGTGATTTAAAATATGGAGATACCTTTTGTGTACTCCATCCTTCTGAACAATGACGATCCTATGTGTACAGAGACAAAAGTCAATCTAGTTTCTGTTTTTTACCCAGCTCTTCAGATGTTCTCTCCTTGATTAAAGGGACTCTTGCCATCATATTGAAGGAAGTGCAGAAAAACCAGAAGAATGGCATCCTTCTTTTTTAAGAGCCATGATGCTGTTCAGTGGCATTTTCCTGCTTCCTTGTTCCTTGTTGTGCAAAGAGCCCTCAGAGCCTGCATGATGGCTCTTCTGAACACAGTGAACAACTGCAGTATAAAAAAACTGAAAGACAGTCTGAGACAGTTCATTCTGTACACAGCCTGAGCTGTTTCTAGAAGACATTTAATGCAAACAGTAATGGTGTTAACAGTAATGGAAATCAAACATTTGCACGAGTGTTGAGGCAGGCTACTGTCAAAAAAAAAGCAGAATCATATTTCACTAATATTGGGAGATGAATACAGGGGGCTACTTGGTCTTGCCATGATAACAATGATAAAATATGACTTGATTTATTTCTCTTTATAAAATGGGGAAGTAGCTCTAAGTGCTTTATTTTTTAAGATTGAAACAAAAAAAAATGTAAAATGAAAGAAAAGGGGAATGCATCAGATAGAAAATATTTAAAACATAACAATTATTAGAGTGATAGTAAAAGGCAATGTTAATGTTTTTCGAAAATGTGTTTATAACTGGTCACATAGTTTGCATCTCTTACAGTGTTACAGTGGTTCAGACAGAGGATCTAGATGGTTGGTGTAGAAACCACAAAGAATTAGTTATTCAAACTGGTCCCAAACAATAACAAGTCTTGTAAAAAAACAATGTAAAGCTCCCCTGTGGACAAAGGTGTCTTCTTCTCTCTTTGCAGTATTTGTTTTTATAATCCTGCTTTCTTTAACAGTCAGTTGTATCACTCACCTAAACCGCTGCTGTGGATAAAAGACTGTTTCAGCAGCGTGTTGCAGCAGATACAGGCATTGAAAATTGTTATATAAAAATGAGCAGTCTTTAATTAATTATGGTATTGTCAGCTTTTGATGGTCACATGGAGTTCAATCAGTTTGTTTCATAACCTGTTAGAAACTCATCACAGGAGCTTTCAAATCAATACTAAAAGACAGATGGAGCCAGTGCAGGTAAACTTAAACGGGTGCTGATGTGCTCTTTATCACTTGTTCTGGCTGCATAGCTCTGAATACATTTTCAATTTATCATGGATTTTTCTGAAAAGCCAGTTTGAAGAGCAATACAGAAGCCAGGTCTCTATGACATTGATGCCAGTTTTCCGGCATCTTGCTGGGATATAAATGGCCACACCTCTGCAATACTTTTAATGACTTAAGATAAATCGTGGTTGCAGGTGTTTTCCGTTCTTTATTTGTACAGGTCAGCACAAAAATTACTGTCTGTGTCGTTTTCATTTTGTAATTTAGGCCTGGTCTGTACTCATGAAGGTGATAACTGAGAGCGTTTTGTAGGCCACCTCAAGTGAGAGGTGAGTGGAGTAGGTGAGGACGGAGCAGGTCAGTAAGCACAGCGGCACACTGTACTGGAATGACAGGGACTCAGTAAAGCTTCACAGCCCGTATGTGGAGAGGGGGTGGGGAGAGAGGGAATAATCCTCTGGCCATCTGCTGCGTTTGCTGCCCTGTGTGTGTTTTTGCTGTGTGTGTTCATGCTGCTGTGGGTGTGTGTGTGGGTTTTGTGTGTGTGTGTGTGTGTGTGTGTGTGTGTGTGTGTGTGTGTGTCAGTGTTTGACTGGCTTAACATGGGACAGAGAATTCACTTCCTTTTTCTCATTCCCTAC